CAGACAGGATTGCGTGGACAGCAAGCTAGAGGCTGTGTCAGTTAGAAGGGAAGGCATTCCTGACATGACTTCTTTGCTGCTTAAAACCCATGAAGGTGGCTAGAGGTGTGGCTTGATTGGTAGAGTGCTTGCCTAGTGTGCCTAGTGTGCAGGAAGTTCCAGCATCACCTATACCAGGCACGATGGCACACACCTACAACCCCAGTACTCAGAAGGCAGGAAGATCAGGGGTACAAAGTCGTCTTCAGCCACAGCAAATCTAAAGCTACATTAGATTCTGTCTCAAAATGAATAATAAACAGATAATAAAGGTGAATGAATTAATCTCTTGATAATTAAGCTCACGTTTCATGGGGGTGTAATTGGAGGCTGGCAGAGGCAAAGGAACTCGCCCAAGTTTGGACAACAAGTGAGTAAGAATAAAGCGATTTGGTCCAGGCCAGTGAACACCAAATGCTTGTGCTTTTATCGACAGACCATACTGCCTCTCTCCTGGGCCCTGGCTTCTCTGCTGGGACAGAAGAGTGAGGTGGGAGGGATCAGAGACTCGAGGTGTGTGCTGCCTGCTGCTCTATCGCCACAAGGACATATCCAAGCTGCCTGTAAAGAGCCAAGGGCACTGCAGTGACCTCATTGCTCCGGCCTTCCCTCCCTCCCCTTCCAAGTGAGATGTCAGCCTTCCGCCTCATTCCTTCCCATCCTGGACACCTGGCACGGGCGGGCTCTCAGCAGAGGCCAGAGACTTCCCCCTGTGCCTCCAGAACATCCTCCATCATGAAGACATAGACCGTGGGGTGCCAGAAAAGCAGAGTCTCACCGCCCCCCATCTCTGCTCCCCGGCCTCTCCTTGTCCCTATTCTCTGCCCTGCCTTCTGCCTCCCTCTTCTCCCTCACCCTGTACTCCCCCACCTCCTGCATGCTCTAAGATGAAAAGGCCAATTAATCCGTTACCACCACCACCTCCGAGCTGAGCTGCTTTCTGCACCCGGGCTATCAGCATCCCTGCCAGGGCTGCCTATGCGGTCCCAGAAAAGCGTGGCTAATTGGGGAAAGATTTCATTCATCCTTCTGAGGCCTGAGCACAGCCATGAGGGCTCCTCCAAGCTAGGCGAAGACTTGTCACCCCGAGACATCCTATCATCAGAGAGGGCCGTGGGGTTACCTGTCATCCAGGCCTGTTTCTACCTTGACATTGATGCTCATCTGTGTCGGTCACAGCCACCTTCTCTAGTAGCACAAACAGCGGAGCAGCTGAGAGCATCAGGAAGTGTGTGCCCTGATAGTGTCCACTCCTACACGAGCGGCCAATGTGTACTTCGCACCCACCATACCTGGGATAGGCCCTGGGGACACAGGGTTGGCTTCAATAGTCCACCTACTGCTTTTAGGGAGGTGGCATGCTAGTAAAGAGGGGTAAGCAGTAAACAGATAATATCTGTGATCAGGTGGTCCAGAGCTACCGGGGATACATATCTCAGAGTAGGTGGGGCCTGGGTGACAGTGCTGGCCTAATTCTGAGGGCCTGTGGCCCACCTGCTTTCCGTATGCAAATGTCATGCTCCAGAAAAAGGCAGGTATTGGTGAATCATATCGAGGGAGGTTCATTTATTGGCTGGCTTATTTTGTTTTTGTTTGAGACAGACACAACCCAGGTTGGCGCCGAACCGGATATGCAGCAGAGAATGGATGGTCGTGATCTCTTGACTCTCCTACCACCAGTTCCCAAGTCCTTAGATCTCGGGAATGTACCACCATGCCCAGCTTTTCAAATCACATTTTAAATATGACACATGCAAGGCTGACGGGTTAGCCTGCGGCCAATCTAGGAACTTTGGTTTTCTCAGAAGAAAAATGGGTTTAATACTGCTTTCCCTCCCAGCTGGCTTACAGGGCTACTAAGAGACTTGTGGAATGAGATTTTAATTTTGTGAAGCTACTCTTTTATTGCATCAAAGTAACACAGTGGCTGTGAAAATGAAGGCAGTGCTGGCAAAGTGAAGCAGCACCTCTAGGTAGATATTCTGTGATAATCCAATTCCAACGTGTTCCGATGGCCGAGACGAAGATCACATTAAGATGGTTTCCAGATCCTTTCGGGCAGGGATGGCGTCTTCTCATTAAGCCCTTCTGAGGCCCGGAAGCACTTCGTTGTTGCTCACGGCCCGTGGTTAGTTGTCAGCTGTCGAGGGCATCCCGCCTGGAGACACCTATTACTGTCTTAATTTCCGACTGCCGATTAATCTCGAGACCCCAGCCTCCATTCTCCACAGCCTACCTGTGCTAAGAGCATGACTAAGAGCATTACCCGGCCAGCCCTCGTCACCTCAACTCGTTGCATCCCTCTCAACATGTGGGGAGCCTGATGGACATTGTGTGTGTTGGGGGAGGGGGCAGCCTGTCACCCCAGGGAGACGTGACTACTCACTTCACGGGGCTTCTTCCTCTGGATACGGTGTTTATTCTGTGGTAAAACAGGAATGATTGCCACTTGGAAGGGAATTTATCTCATTCAAATAACACCACTAAACTGAAAGATTCACAGCACACATCTCCAGGAGAGTGCTCAGCAGAAATCAGGTGCTTGTCTGATTCCCTGCCCCCTGGGGAACCCCCGGCAGGTGCCATCACAGCTCAGCTATGAGACCAGATGACAAGGGCGATGGGGAATGCGCTTTAGAAACTTATTTTCTGACACCGTCTGTGGTGAAGGAGAACAAGGCTACTGCCAGGGTAGTGGCGGCAGGATGGAAGATCTATGACAAATGTGTCCTCACCAAACATTTCAAAACCTCAAATACAGAGTCATTGTTTTCTTTCCAGAGAGACCAGTATGGGTGCATCAACCAGAGTGTTTACCCTGGTCTACTCCAGGAAAATCAGAGACACCCCTCCCCTCAGGATTTCTTAGACAGGGCCGGAGTTCTCCGGTTTTTTTTGTTTTTTAGAATAGAGGAGACAGAGAAAGAGCCTAGAAGAAAGCAAGGAGGCAGACAGGAGAGAAGAGTGCTGCAGGGTCCTTCTGGGCACAGAATGCCGTTTGGCTGCCATCGGAAGCATGGATGTTGTCCTCCTCTTATGGATGCCAACACAGAGGGCAGAGAGGTTAAATCACCTGTTCAAGTCCACGTGGCTGGGAAGTGACCACTGAAGTATGATCTTCTCGACCCGAGGCCAGAATCAAAGTGAACTTTCCCGTTGACCTTCCTCTGGAGTTTCGTCAGGGGCGCTTGGCTGTTCTCTCTCCCTCTGTTCCTTAAAAGGTCCTCAGAATCAGGAATCTGAGGCCTAGAACTTCAGCCCTAATGCCCTGTTCTGTTCATAAATTTGGTTTCTAAATAAATAATCATCCTATCCATTCCTGTCTGCACCTCTCCTCCCTCCTAGATGGCTGCTTCCTCTCCCTACTGACATCTTCCCCCGGTAGCCTAGCTCCCTTTTCACACACACACACACACACACACATACACGCCACACACTCACCTTCCCTGCACACACCCATATGCAAAATAAAATTAGAAACATGCCCCAACTCTCAAGGTATTTAAGGAATGAAGATTTTTTTTTTTTCAATCAGTATGGCTCAGGCTGAGCCCTTTGGGCCCCCTTTGTGAGAGGCAGACAGAGCTTTTGAGGAGGGCCAGGCAGCTTGTGACTCAAGACCTCTAGGGCTTCCTCATGTCTGTCCTTGCGTCTGTCCTGGCGGTTCTCAGAAGCTGGTGTGCCCTTCTTCCTCTCATATATACAATTCTTTTAGAACAACATGAAAAGGTTTCCTGGCCCCTTTTTTATTTTTATGTATGCTGATAAAATACAGGAAAAACAGTGTCTGATGATTCAAAAATAGAGGCTAAGCCGATCGGCATATGGCCTTCACTTCAAAGGATTGCTCGTTTTAATCAACCGGTTGAGATGGCGGTGAGCGCTTGTTATGTCTGCTCGCACACAGGGGAGTGGAGAAGGCAGCGATGGGAGCCGTGACAGCTTGGGAAACTGAGGCTAGTAAAGGTGTTGATGTCATTGCAATGTTTCATTGTCTTAAACTCCTCCTGCATGCATGGGGGCACACAGAGAGAGAGCCAGAGCCAGCCAGCCAGACAGAGGTTTACCATATACTAGTGTCACCACCCGCTTCCTGTCTCATGGCGCACGCGTGAGAACAGTGTGAAAAGGAGATGGGGCAGGAGGAGTTTCTGTATCTGGACAAACCTCTCTTCATCCTCCCCTCTCCCAAATCAAAGCTGCCCCCGGATCCCAGGTGATGCTGAAGTGGGCAGAGGCTGAGAACAGGAGCATTGTGCGAGAACCAGGTTCAAACCCAGGCCCCACCACTCCCTTGCTGCTTGACTTTGGGCGTGTGACTCGGGGTCACCTTCTTGCCCCTAGAATGGAGCTCAACTAGCTTCAGGGACAATACTGGAAGGTTCATGCCGCTGTTGTGTGGGGTTGAGCAGAGTGCCTGTCACTGAGGAAAGGGCCCGTCTGTAGTGCTCATGATGATGATCTAAGACTCCAACAGTCCTCATCCCTTTACACCTCCTGTCGCCCAGTCCTCCATTCTACAGAACGCGCTGGGACGTAGGCTCCCCCAGTAAATGGTGATGTTTGGATATCCACAGCCAGTTAGGTTGGTCCCCACCCCTCAGTTCACAGCCCTTCTGAGATACTGCCGATCTTCCTGGGTCAACTGAGCTCTCAACATCCCACACCCCATCCCCTACCCACAACCTACACTTAAGGTTTCCTTGGTCCTAGCCAATAGCGGGGAGGGGTCACAAACAGGAAGAGGGAAGGAAGGGAGGTCAGGGTGCGGCTGAAGCTTCGGCATCAGGGATGAATCCCCATCTCCCAGCTGGATTCAGGGTTGCAGTGAGGCAGGGCGCCACAATCCGCCAGGAGGGGAGGGGGGAGAAGGGCGGTGGTGTGGAGGGGCAAGTCCTCAGTGCTGAGCCAGTGGCCAGAGCACCGCCCCCAGGAGCGGAGGGAGGGAGGGGTGGCGGGGCTGGGGTGGGGGTTGCCCAGCTGCCATCCCCGCCGCCTCCTGGCCCCCACTCTCTGGCGCCCCAAGTAGGAGGGCGGCAGCTGCCCGCTCCCTCCTCCCCACACCCCCGCTACCTGCCCAGTCCCCGAAGCGAAGCGTGAGGAGGCTGAGAGCCAGTCGGGCGAGCCCACAACTTTGCAGCCTCGGGGAAGACCAGGGCTGGCGTCCGGGGCTCCTCCTGTCGCGACCGGAGCTCGGTGAGTTCGTTCCCCAGCCCTCTGCGGCCGCTCCAGGGGGGGGGCGGCTGCCCGGGTATCCGGGAGTCAGTGGCGGAGGAACCGGCGGGTGCCCGCGCTGCCTGGGTCCGCAGGGCTCCGGTGCCGCCCTCGGAGGCCGGTGAGGCGGGCGCCGGTGCTGAGCGGACAGCTCCCCAGGCGCAGGGCGGCCGGCGGCCACTCTGTGCTGCCGGTGGCTCGGGGACGGGCAGGGTGGGGGGGGGACGCAGGGCCGGGGCTGCGGCCGCCCACCCGGCGCCCCGCACTCCCCCAGCCCCTGTCCTTCGCCTTCCCAGAGCCGCGGCGCATCTGGAGGTTGCTCCCGCGCCCCCCTGGCGACTGGCGCCGGGAAGACAGTTGCTTCCCCAGCCCGGTACCTAGGGCTCCGTGGAGTGGGCAGCGCCCCCGTGGCCTCCGCGGATGCATGGCTGGGTGGTGGGTGGGGGAGCTGATCCCCCAGCGATCACCCCCAGGCGTGCCCTGAGCTGTGGCCCAGCGGTGCAGAGAGGCCGCAGGTCCCCAGAGCGGTAGGCACAGTCACCTGAGAAGGTTTCAAGGTGACCAATGTCTCAATCCAGACGGGACAGCCTGCACCCCAGGCCCCGTGGCATTCACCCATCCTGGGCGCATCCTCCTCTCCAGAACTTTTCTCGTGCCTCCTTCTGGCCGATTACTTAGACCACTGTGAAGTTCTTCTCGACACACTGAACCTATTCCCGGGGGGGGGGGGGGGGGGGGGGGGGGGGGGGGGGTCCGGGGTGGGGCAGGGCCCCGGGCTGTAGGAGTTGGGGCCGCGTTTGGCCCTGTGTTGGGGACCACCCCAGGCAAAGCTACCAAGCATCCACTGGTCCTCCCAGGACGGGCTTCTTGGCATCGAAAGGGTTTCGGCGCCTTGGGGATTGTTTGGGCTTCTCCCGCCAGGAAAGAGAAAGGCGGGTGCGAATGGGGGATTTCAATTTCCTTGCCTCAAAGGAAAACACTCCTCCAAAGATTTTATAGAAATAAGCAGGGCAAGCAGAGGCTGGAAAATGAACTGCTCACGATCCAGTGGCAAAGGTCCTCTGGCAACACACACCTCCACCCTACCCAGCGCCTGAACACGAGTGACTGTCGACTGTTTTAATTGATTTTTTTTTTTTTTTTTTAAGGAAAAGCCAGGTGGCAGAGGGTAGGTATACACACACATACCCAGGCAATACACAAACATCAAGTCCGGACGCACCCAGGCAAACGCACGTCATGGTCCAGAGCACAGCTACTTGCAGAGAACCTTGGGTACCCTGTGAAGAGACACCACGGAATAGTGCGCAAGATAGGAATGGGGGGAGGGGTGGGATCAGGATTTCCAAGAGTCAACCAAGGGAAGCCTCGGCCAGAGATCCCAAAAGTTACAATCACTCCAAACTGCAGACAGGTCCTTCCCTTCTTGGGTCTGACCTCCGTGACTCCAAGGCCACAGGGACTTTTCCGGAGTAGATCTGGCCAGCTGCGGTCTCTGGGTCACTAACCTGCTTGGTCCCAAATTCGGGAACCCGGAAAGGGTGAGCCAAGGGGTCAGGGTTTGGGAGAGTTGTGTACAGCCGCTCCGAACCTTCAACCAGGGAGAAGAAGGCCGGGACCCTGGACACTCCTGTAAGGCTCCCTCTCTCCTTGCGCCCCTCAGGAATGTAATCGAGGATGCTGGCCCTGCGGCTGCTCAACGTGGTGGCCCCCGCCTACTTCCTTTGCATTTCCCTGGTGACCTTCGCGCTGCAGCTCTTCCTCTTCCTGCCCAGCATGCGTGAGGACCCCACAGCCACCCCGCTCCTCTCGCCTGCCGTGCTTCACGGGGCGCTCTTCCTGTTCCTCTCAGCCAATGCCCTGGGCAATTACGTCCTGGTCATCCAGAATTCCCCAGACGACCTGGGCGCCCGCCAGGGAACCTCGGCCCAGAGATCGCAGTGCCCACCGCCCAGCACCCACTTCTGCCGAGTGTGCTCCCGAGTCACGCTGAGGCACGACCACCACTGTTTCTTCACCGGCAACTGCATCGGCGGCAGGAACATGCGCAACTTCATCCTGTTCTGCCTCTACACCTCGCTGGCCTGCCTTTACTCCATGGTGGCCGGCGTGGCCTACATCTCAGCTGTCCTTTCCATCTCCTTCGCCCACCCCCTGGCCTTCCTCACGCTCCTGCCCACTTCAATCAGCCAGTTCTTCTCCGGTGAGTGGGCCTTGGCAGGCAGGTTCCGCAAACAAGACCTCCCGACCCAAGCCCAAGCTTTTCAAATAAAAACACAGGGATACCCAGCTCAAGCTGTCAGATAAACAATTGTTTCGGTATAATTATGTCCCGGTATTGCAGGAGGCCTAATAAGAGAGCAGACTGTAATCTATCAGTGATTCCAATGAACTGGGCAGTCTCTCTTTTGCCTGACATCCCAGCCTCCACATCTTTCCTACTGTTAGCTACCCATAAAATAATGGTACCCAACCTCTACACTTCTGAGGCCGGGCACATTCCTTCAGAGCTCATGCTACGTTTCCCCACTGGCCTGAACCTCAGGCCTGCTCACCCATTCCTTCAGGTGCCCTTACCAAATAACCACATCGAGGCTACACTTGGCTTCAGGCTGTTGCCGGGCAGGAGGCTAACTTCCAACCTCCCTCCCACTAAGTGTGACTCCACCAAACTCTTCTGCAGCTGGCAGGTGGCTCAGAGCCAACCCACTGGCTACAAGTCCACACTCCAGAGATCCAGCCTGGTGTGTGATCTGACCTTCTGGAAGGTTCTGACACCTGCTAGAGCCAGGCATACAGCCCACACCCTGGAGCCCGCAGGAGCACCGCGGTGAGGGCTGTATTTTGAACAGTATGTTTCAAAGAACATTCCATGGCACCTGGCCCTGGGAGGCCCTGCTTCTGGTGGCAGTCCTGTTTTATCTGGCCCTGGCATTGGTCCCTACTTTATTCCCTTCTACTTTTTTTTTTTTTTCATCTTGACTTTTGATTTTGACCAATTTGAGCTCTATAGTTAGTAATGTGCACACAAAGGTCTGGTGTTTGTAGGTCCATTTCTCAGATAAAAAGGAAAAAAGAAAAAAAAAAAAAAAGCCCAGACACAAAACCGAGTCTTAGCTGGGACTAAATGACCTGCCTGATATCTTATTTCCTTAGACTATCTGTCTCTGACTTGTATCCAGGGGTGCTTAAACCACAATTCAGTGTTCTTCCTCACTGTCCATATTCTTGAACTCAGTGACTTGACCTTTCAGGGTCAAAAAAAGACAGCTACTTCTACAGAGAGCCTGCCTGTCCTGACACCTGGCCTAGACTGCACTGATCTAGGCATGCAGGAAAAAAAAAAATTCTGTACCTTAGGGGAACCCTCATTTTAGCCTTTGTTGAATCTATAGCTCAGCTTTTCCCAGACATAGAAGTACCATGCCATTTGGCAGTAGGAACACAGAGACTCAGGGAGGACCAGCCATGGGAAATGCCTAGAGAGCTGGTGGCTAAGCTGGGCCCAGAACTTGGAGCTCTGAGGCCTTCTGGATCTTGGTGCTGGCATAGGAGGCTGCCAAGACTGAAATAAGCAGGATGGGGGAGGGTAGGTGGGTGGGCTGGGGGTGGAGTGTGAGAGCAGGCAGGTGGAGCGATAGAGAGAGCCAGAGAACCTGATTGCACATCCTTTTCCAAGTAGTCTCACCAACCATAAAAATGGGTGGTTCCAGAAGGAGGACCTTGAAATGGTTTGATTTAAGTCTGGGCGTGAGGCCTGTCCATATGTGCTAGGTTTGGGAAATACGGAAGAAAGGGAGCCTCTCGCTTTGATCTGACGGGAGAGAAAAGCCAGCCCATGCCTACCTCAGGGCCCAAAACAGGCGTCTGTTCTGGCTTTAGAATGAGTCTCACCATCTTTCACCATTCCCGCTAGAAAAAAAGGAATTTGAGGCTCCTCATCACCAGATCCATCCCATCTTCCTCTTTTGCTGACCCTTCACATCCTTCCCTGGCCTTCTCCATGTACATACACTCTCCTGTTCAGCTTCCTCCTTTGATATTCTTTTTCCCTGGTTCCCTTTACAAATGGTCCAGAGCATACCCTCTCGGCTGCTCAGGAGAGCCCGTGGGCAGGAGGATGTACCAAGGCAGTTAGTTAATTCAGAAATCACCCCTGTGATCAAGAACTGCCGCTGGCACTTGAAATGACTATAAATGGGACCCTGAAAGCCTCCCACCTTTATGTGTGGGGGGAAGGGTCTTCTAAAATGCTACTGGCCACTGACTCCAAACCCTTAGGAAATGTCAAAGGTAAGAGGAGGATAGGGATCAGTTGAGGAATTTTAAAAAGGTTTTCCTCCTTTTGGCTTTGTGTCGCCTCTGTAAGCCTCATTCTTATGTAGAGAATGGAGATAACACCATCTGACAGGTACTGTGGCATTCAAATTAGCATCCATTGGTAGATGCCACTAGAAGACCCCAGGAGGAGGAAAGGGAGGGTTAGAATTTATTGAATACCTATTTTGTATCCCACTAGACATGTCTCATTGCATCCAGTCCTTAGGGCAAATCTGGGACACCAGTATTATGGAATTTTTGTTTTGTTTTGTTTTTTGTTTGGTTGGTTGCTTATTTTGTTTTGTTTTTTAAGGCTGGGGAGCCAACGGCTCAGCCAGGTCAAGCTGCTTCTGAGCCATGCAGCTTTGGATTCTGGGTTTTGTTTTGTTTTTGTTTTGTTTTTTTCTACTCTGACACCCTGCCTGTCTGGTCTTGCTTCATGCCGAATGGGCCTCTTTGGGAGGAAGGGAGCTGCCTATACCCAGATGTATTACAGAATGTGCTGGGGGATGGTTTGGCACAGGTGTTAGAGATGGTTGTGGTGGAAGAGCAAGGAGAGAGAAAATTAGATGATGTAATCTTTCAGATCCTTTAAGAAAGTTTTGTGATTTTTTCTGAACGAGAAACTATTCCTATATAGTTTAAAGGCACTGAAGAAGCCAGGTAACTTCAAACACTCTGAAAGAAAGAAAGCAGGTCCCCAGAATAGCCTTTTGTAGCTGCTGCATGGAGCCAACAAAAGGCCAAAAGGTCTTTGCCTCATGCCTTTAGAAACCTGTGGGGAATGGCTTCCATCTGCCTGACTTGTTCCTGGAGCTGAGTTGCAGGGCAGGCCTCAGCCTGACAGCTCTGAAACTCTCACATCCTAGCTTGAGGGCTAGCGTGCACATCAGTATTCTTCAAACTGGAAGGGCACCATGTCCCCAGGAGTCTCTGTTCTGCACATGGCTGCCCAAGCTAATTTGTACTGACAAGGAAAAAGTGGGTCAGGGGATGGCCCGGCCCCACTTGAGTCTGTCTCTTTGCTACCCTTAACAATGGCGGAGGGGCTTCACTAAATGCCAGCTGGAACGAGATTTCTGTCCTCCAGGCAACTGGGCCTCCTTGTCTCTAACTTTGCAGAGAAAATCCTGCTACTCAAGCTCCTAGGGTTGAAGAAAATAGGCTTCCAGTGATCAAGCCAGCAGATCGATTCATCTTGGCTGCTGAATCCATCACAGATCAGACTGACAGGTGTTAACGCTCACTTCTAGGGAGTCTGGGAAGAAGTAGGCTGGAGCAAGGAAATGCTAGAGGAAGGGAAGACCGTGGAGATTTGTGTGGGTAGACTAGGTTGTAAATTGACATCCCTGCAGCAGGCACCCAAGCCTCCCCGGAGAAGGTGGTGTTGGGTTGCCAGCTGAGAGCTGAGAGAGGCCCCTGCATTCTATCCTCCGCCCACTGCTCTGGCTGCCAGGCACGCCAAGGTAGATGTGTTCACTACAGCCACCAAAGCTGCAGCCCAGACTCCAAGCCCTGGAAAGGTGGAGAAAGGCCTGAGGGTCTGAGGATTTAAACTTGAACCATTTGGAGATGTAGGTTCCTCCTCTGAGACATGACATCCAACACTGACTGTCAACTACAACGATGGTGACTCCAAACACCTGCAATCGTGCAAACTTATGATGCATGAGTGTAGCCATATTGCTGATGAGCAACCTAGAAGGCAGACAGATTAAGAAACCTGTGCGAGTCCACACAGCTGGGAGCGTCACACCTAGCATGGAACAATCTCTCCAGCTCAAACTCGGAGGACACACGAGGTCTCTTACTAAGTGGACCTTTAAAAACAGCCACAGGAAGTGTGAGATTTTAGAGGGTGTAGAGGAGGTACTGTCCCGTGGCAGGGTGCTGCACTGATGGGCCTTAGGGGCCTCTTGGAGTCTTAGTCCACTGACTTGACTGGCAGGACTGTTCTGGCTGAGTGTTGCAGCGTCTCCTTCTCTTGTTAACATTAATGACTGAATTGTTCTCTAAGCCGGGCTCTGTGTGCTGCCCTTGAGGCTGAGCTCGTGACTTGTTCCCATGACTAGGTCCTGTTCTCCATCATGCTGTCACTTTCCCAGCTCCTCCCAGACAGTGCTCCCAGCTTCACAGGGAGAACTGGCTGCAGTCTAGACAGCTGCCCAGGTGCCAGCTCCCTCCTTAGGTTCCTAAGCTCGTTCCTCTTTCCTCCTATAACCCCCCCCCACACACACACACACCCCGTTTCCAATCCAGAAAGCGAAGCATTCCCTAAATGTGCAGAGTCTAGGCTGTGCCAGAATTGAGGGCTCTGTTCGCTGAGCTCATTTAGCGTGTTCTCCACCTCCCCAGGCCCCCAGTTCACCCCCTCTCTCCTCAGGAGCCATCAACACTAAGAAAAACTTAGGGCAGGGAGCTCAGCCACGGTCTCCCAGGCTGCAGAGCTGAGGCCGCAACAAATCACAACTTCTAACTCGTGAGCCTCTCTCCCTGCCTCGCAGCGGAAAGCGCCCGAGCGCAGAGCGCCTGGGTACGTGGCCTGGGTGTAAAGCGGTCTGGTGTTTCCCCTCCCCCACAGGAGCTGTCCTCGGTTCTGATATGTTCGTCATCCTCATGCTCTACCTCTGGTTTGCTATCGGCCTGGCCTGCGCGGGTTTCTGCTGCCACCAGCTGCTGTTGATTCTCCGGGGGCAGGCCCGCTACCAGGTTCGAAAGGGGGTGGCAGTGAGAGCCCGGCCCTGGCGCAAGAACTTACAGGAGGTCTTCGGAAAGAGGTGGCTGCTGGGCTTGCTGGTCCCCATGTTCAATGTCGGCACTGAGAGTTCCAAGCAGCAGGACAAATAGATGGCAAACACTTCTGTCTCAGTTCTCCCGAACCTAGGACCACAGCATAAGCCCACCCTTGTCCCTATCTGTGACACACCACACTCTGTCCTAGGAAGGACCTCATATCCACCCCAGGTCTTCAACCCTCAGAGGATATGTTAACAGGTGCCTCCTGACATGGAGGGGAAATGGCCACCTGGGCATCACTAGGCTGCTCTCAGGCCAGCCAGGTAGGTAGTTGCTAAATCGTTAGGGTTTTTCTGCTTCAAGTTTTCTTCTGGAAAGCCCTGCCCCTGCCCCCTGCCTGGCCCGTCCACTCTCATGTCTCAGGTCATGGCTGCTTTTGCTAAAGCCCTTCTCTTCATTTTGATAGTGGAGACTGTTCTTGCTGCTGGAGGGAGACTCCCCAGGACATGGAGGCTGGTTAATGAATGGTACAGTTTCCATGCATGAGCGGCAGTCAAGGAAGCTCTGCTAGTGAAAACGGGAAGGGGTAGGGATGCATCCTCATCCCCTGGAGGGAGAGTCAGTGTGTGTGTGAGGGGAAGCACAGGCTTCCCTGTGCACTCGCTGCTCAGCCCATGTACAAGACCCTTTCCCCAGACACAGCATCACTGACCTGGTGTTTTGTTGATGCCGTTTCCTGCCTGTCCCAGCTGGCCACCCCAGCCTAGCCCGAGAGTTAGCTGGATACTTCTCCTCCCTAGGAGTCCTCTGGCCTCTCTCTCTTTGGCCTCCAGCCTCCAGATTTTTGCTGGATATTGGGAAGGGAAGATGGGAGAGAGAAAAGGGAGTTACTCACCCATAAGTAACAAGGGAAGTGTGTTTCTATATAGCCTTATACAATTGTGTGTGTGTGTGTGTGTGTGTGTGTGTGTGTGTGTGTAAGAGGGAGTGGAGGTGAGGAGTGTTGTTATGAGGAAGAGTGAGAATTGGAAGGGAAAGCGGGAGGGGTAAATAGGTTGACTGTCTTGCAGCTGAAGCCATCCAGTGTCTGAATACAAACTGGAGGGAGCGCTAGCCGCTGGAGGTATTTTAACAAGAACTAGGCAGTTATCTACCAGAGTGTTATGGAAGAGATTTTTGTACTAGTTTGTTCTAGATGAACTTAGAGATCCCTTTCCCCTCCTTGATTCCAGTGTCATTTCTGATACTGCTGGGCCCAGGGGCAGGATCTTTAGAGTCACCTGGGAGTTACCTGCTTTCACAGGGCAGAGGTTAGAATGAGCATGGGTTAGGGTCTAACAGTCATAACACAGGCTTTCTGCACCCCCATCCAGCCACTCAGGAGACTCCCTGATGTTAGCAGTGGCTGACAGAGGCTAGCAGTGGAGGCAGGGAGGTATAACTGTAGGGAGGGCCAGGTCAGGGCAGTTGTAGGGAGAGAAAAGCCTGGAGGTCATGTTCAGCCCCGAGGAGTTTGTGGGAATGACAGAATATTGAAGTACAATGGCCAGTCCATCCCGACTAGCTCTAGATGGGGGCACTGCCTTGTGTTTTGAGACCCAGAGAAGCAGAACAGACCTCTGGGGCATATGAAGGAGTGGGAGCCACATAAAAAAAAGTCCTCTCCTGACTTGGTTCCAAGGCCAATCCAACATCTATACAGGCTTTGAGGCTGAAGCCCAAGCTCTGCAATGTTCAGTAGGTGGCCACAGTGACCAGAAGCCATTGATCCATAAGACCCTGGATTCTTGAACAGAGCTTAAGAGGATGTTATGCAGGCCCTACTTTGGTGCCCTCCAGAGGACTAACGTAGTAATGGCTCTTCTGCTCACACTTCTCCCTCCAACATTCATTCTTTTGGGCCTCCATTTGGTCATCCTCCATTCGTTCATCCTGCCTATATTTATCAAGCACCAACTGTGAGCTGAATCTTGGTCACGAGCCATCCAGATGCATACCTTCAAGGGTAGATGATTCCTACAGTTCTACTCTGCTGTCTTGGCAGTCACTGAAGCCAGCCCCTTGGAGGGGAAAAGATGCAGCAGGGCAGAAGGAAAGTCTAAGCTTCCTCAGTGGAAAAGCCGTTAGGGGTATCTTTATTCCCAATTCTGGGCACCCCGTTAGCGGCATGAAGAAACAAGGGTGGGCAATGTCTGGACAGCTCAGGCCTTGGGGCTCTCTTGGCCCTAGAGTTCAAACTTGAAAGCCAGCCCTGCATTGTCCAGGCTCAGTACCATGGAGTCCAACATCCCAGAGGGAAAAGGGAGAACTTCTGGTGGCCATCCCTTAAACACTTGTCAAGGAGGAGTGGCTGTGGGGAGGTTGCCAGGTGTGGTATTTGAGTAGCACTTGTGCCCATGGCCCTCTGTTGTTCATGAAGAATATCAATAAAACATGTGGTTTTCAACTGTCTTTGACTTGTCTGTCTGGTTGGTGGCAGGGCTTCGCGAACAGTGTGTGCTGCTGCTGCTTTATAACGATTAAGAAGCCTTCTGTTCCAGTGGGTAAGTGACTATAGCAAGATTCCCTGAACAGTGTACTTCTGGTACCGGGGTCTCCTCCCTAGAGACCCCAGGTTCACTGAACAATCTGACACCAATCCGGGACTTGCTTCCACCTGCTCTCACTCCCCACACACAGCTATGTCCATTGTGACTGGTCAGGGCCATGTGGTGGTAGTGGGACTCTCAGCCCTTCTGGGTAGTAGGTCTATAGCACTGGGGTCTGTGGCCTGCAGAGACCATCAATGAGAGATGTCATCTGAGAATGTTTCCTCTCCCTCCTTCCCTTTGATAAAGAAGGGTAGGTGAGGAAGAGGATGGAAGGCCATCTGCTTCTTATCTCAGCAAGCAGCCTAACCAGAGGAAAAGCCTCCTGATATCTTCCAGTTTTAGGGGCAGCTGGGAGCATGCCAGCAAACTCTGAGCGTGAGCCTCCCAAGCGTCCTAAAGCTAAGCAGGCCTGGATAGATGGAGTACAAAGGGCAAATGCTGGTTCTGTGTGACCTTTCAAAGGCCCAGCCACCATGTAGCCAGCAGACCAAACCTTTGCTAGATCAGACATCCCCTTGTCAGCATGTTCTAAAGAGCATGGCCTGTCCATCCATAGGCCAACACTGCAACTGCCCTTTTCAGCCCTGCATCCTTGATCTTAGCCAGGGTGAGGCACGTAGTCCCTGCTCAACAATTACTACTGAATGCTTGCTTCCCCGATGCCATGCTCTGCATACTGCAGGCTCAGAAACCTCTAACGTTGTGAAGTTTTTGCTCTGGGAAAGGCTCCTAGGGGTGCTCAGAGAGGCATAGAGTGTATGTCCAGATGTCAGGGAGTGGATGGGGTTTCCATTTGTGCAGGCCTGAGTAGATGGGTGAGATCTTGGCAGCTTGAAAGGGACACAGGCTGTAGGTAGGAGACGATGTCTGAAGCCTTGAAGCGCAGGGGCCATCACAGTGAGAGGGAGTAAAAGCTCTGTGAACAGGAAAGACTTTGAACACCAAGCTTCGGTATCTGTGATGAGTTTGAGGGACAACAGGGAGCCACTGACATTCCTGAGTGGCAGGATCAGTACTAGACTGCAAAGAAGAAGAAGAAGAAGAAGAAGAAGAAGAAGAAGAAGAAGAAGAAGAAGAAGAAGAAGAAGAAGAAGAA